AAAATTGACAAGCTAATTCTAAAATTCATACTGAAATACAAAAGGCTTAGACAAGCAAAATGACCTTGTTAAAGAACAAAGTTGGAAGTAGCACTGCCTGACTGTAAGACTTATTATAAAGCTACAGTTATCAAAAGTATTGCTGTAGGGCCGGATGCGGTGGCTCACACCTGTAATCCTAGCACTCTGGGAGACCAGCCAAGGTGGGAGGATTGCTCAAGGTCAGGAGTTCAAAACCAGCCTGAGCAAGAGCAAGACCCCGTCTCTACTAAAAATAGAAAGAAATTAATTGGCCAACTAAAAATATATAGAAAAAACTAGCCAGGCATGGTGGCACATGCCTATAGTCCCAGCTACTCAGGAGGCTGAGGCAGGAGAATTGCTTGAGCCCAAGAGTTTGAGGTTACTGTGAGCTAGGCTCATGCGATGGCACTCTAGCCCGGGCAACAACAACAACAACAAAAAAGTATTGCTGTAAAGACAAAAATGGATCAATGAAACAGAAAACAGAATCCAGAAATAGGTCCACAGGGACAACTGATCATCAGCAACAACGCAAAGGCAATTCAATGGAAAACACAGTCTTTTCAACAAATGATATAGGAACTATTGGACCATCTATGTGAAAGAAAGAAAGAAAGAAAGGAAGGAAGGAAGGAAGGAGAAAGAAAGAAAGAATTTCAATCTATATATTGCACCATTGGCAAAATTATCTGAAAGTGAATAAGAGATTTAAATGTAAACACTAACACTATAAAATTTTTAGAAGAAAATATAGAAGAAATTCTTTGTGATCTTGGGTTAGGCAAAGATTTCTTAGATATGACACCAAAAAGTATAATCTGTGAAAGAAACATTGATAAATTGAACTTCATCAGAATTAAAAAGTTCTGTTCTTTGAAAGATGCTGTTAAGAAAATAAAAGACAAGCTCCAGACTAAACAAAAATATCTGTAAAACATATATCTGCTAATGGACATGTATCCAGAATATACAAAGAACTCTCAACACCAAATAATAAGAAAACAAACAACCTAATTAAAAATGGGCAAAATACTTGAACACTTTATCAAAGAAGATGTGCAGATAACAAATAAAAATGTGAAGCTTTTCAACATCATTAACCATTAGGGAAATACAAATTAAAACCACAATGAAATGTCCCCACATAGCTATAAAAATGACTGAAATAAAAAAGTCTTACCATACCAAGTGCTAACAAGGACATGGAGAAACTGGGTCTCTCGTGCACTGCTGGTGGGAATGTAAATGGTGCGACCACTTTGGAAAACAATTTGCCAGTTTCTTAAAAATATAAATATACATCTACTGTATGTTCTAGCCTTCCTACTTCTAAGTATTTACTCAAGAGAAATGAAAACATATATCCATAAAAAGACTTATAGATGAATGTCCATAGTAATTTTATTTATAATAGCTAAGAACTATAAATGGCTCAAATGGCCATCAATAGGTGAATGAATAAACAAATTGTGGTGTATCTACACCATGAAATGCTACTCGGCAATAAAAGGAATGAACTCTTAATAAATTCAACAGTACAAATCAAACTGAAAATAATTATGCTGAGTGTAAGAAGACAGACAAAAAAGTAAGTAAATACTGTATGATTCCACTCAAATAAATCTCTAGAAAATGCAAACTGAAGAAAGTGACAGGAAGCAGATCAGTGGCTGCCTGGTGTAGTTGTCAATCTCTGAAATGGCTCCAAAAAACAGCAACCTCCTGAGATTCACACCCTTGTGTAATTCCTTCCCCTTGAGAGTGGGCAGGACTCAGTGATTCACTTCTCATGAACAGAATATGGCAAAAACAATGAGATGTCACTTTTGAGATTAGAATAGAAAGATGGTGACTCCCACATTGCTTGTGAAATGAGATCACAGCCCTGGCCAATGCCTTGGTTACAACCTTGGGAGAGACCCTGAGGCAGAGGCACCCAGGAAAGTTGTGCCCACACGCCTGGCCCACAGAAAACGAGAGATGATCAATGTTTGCTGTTTTAAGCTGATGTATTTTGGGGGTATTTGTTACACAGCAATGACTAACTAACACATTTGTAGATTAGGGGGCAAGGTATAAGAGGCAGGAGAGAGCCTGCAAACGGTCATGAGGAAACTTTGGGGGTGAAGGATACATTTATTACCTTGATTGCATGATGGTTTCATGGGTGTATATCTAGGTCAAGACTTATTGATTTATAAACTTTAAATATGTGCCATTTATTGCATGTGAATTATATCTCAATAAAGCTATTTTTTTAAATGGTCCCCATGAGGTCAAGAAGAGGACTAAGAATTCATCAACGAATTCAGCAACATGGAAGTCCTTAATCTAGGGTGACCTGCGCTCCAGATTTGCCCAAGACTCAGATGGTTGCTACAACATGAGACTTCCCATTTTCAAACCCAAGACAGTCCCAGGCACACTGGAATGAGCAGGTTACCCTCCTGCTCATGCTAACAAGAATAGCAGGGGCATCATGGAGGAAATCAGGAGCAAGTGTCACAAGCACTGTTTCAGTGGATGCTGGGTACAGAAACTTTTTAGAACAGTCCAAGATAGAATGGGAGAGGAACTGGGGACACAGCACAGACAACTCTTTTGAGAAGTCTGGTTGCAGCGGCGAGGAGAGAACGGTTGTAGTAACCGGAGGGGATGCGAAGTCAAGGAAGTCAGTTTTAAGAAGGGAATCATTACAGCCCGTGTGTGCGCTAATGGAAATAACCCAGCAGACAGAAAATTTTTTATAATACTGCACTGTACAAACGAGAGATAATTACAGGAGAAAAGCCCGCCAGGATGGAGACCGACTGGTGGAAGCAGAATTGCCACATGTGGCCTGAGGCTCCCTGCCAGGCCACAGGAGCTCCCCCAAGGGGTCACAGTGACCCAAAAGTGCAAGTCTCTTCAATTCTCACGGGCAAGTGACTCATGTTTCTATAGACTCTCATATTTTTGGTCTACTCAGGGTTACTTACTAGTAACCTAATGAGTCATGAAAGTGTACTAAAATGTGCTATTCATAAACTAAAATTACCTAGGACTCTGATTGTGTCCTTTGCTAAGAAAACTGGCTGCGACACAATACTTAGCAATGTTGTAAAACTCCTACCCTGCAAGCACATTTGTAGCTGGGTAGAATTTCACAATTTTCAGGAAAGGCTCATGTCTAATACTCCGCCAGTGTTACCCTGAACTAACTGTGGGGTTTTTTTTCATTACTGATAGCCTTGCTGTTTTTATTACACAAGTCTCTTTTAGTTTAGCTTTAACATTATCATTTAGCTTTTTGTGAATTGTTAGGTTAATTTCACAGTCTATAGTGATCCAGATTGTCATCAATAATATTTAACCTATAATTTCCCTGTATGTCCTCGAGGCCATGCATGCTTGATGTCCCTATTGTCTGTCGAGGAACATGTCTTGTGTGATGGGCTGCTTGTGAGTATCAGCTACTTTTATATGTGAAATAAAATTATTGGGAGTTATTTTTAAGTTTTTAGGAAATTGTTTTACAATATCATATAAAAATCCTCTAGTATGTTCATATCCTAAAATAATTAATAAGTGAATCATTTCTATTGCTAGCAGCATGGTAAATCCAGCCTGTTCTATTTCTTTTCTTTCTCTATAACCCCTGAGTTTTTCCTTAGTGTGAACTACAGGGGAGAGGAGGGCACAGAGTTGTACACCCCATCTATGTGTGCCACAATCAAAAGGTTCGGGAGCCCCAGTTCTAGAAGGGGATTTTAGGGCTTCCCAGGACAAGACTGTGCCAGCACAGGCAGAGTTTACAGCTCCCCAGATCCTGTCAGCGGCTGTCGTGCATCCAGGCCACAGCCATTCCCCGCCTGTCTTCTTAAAAACCAGCCCAGAGTGGGCTATGGTTTTGCTGTATGCGCATAACATCCCATTTTCTGGGCTGCGTCTTTTGTGTTTTTCTTTTCTTTTTGGCTTCTCTCTTTTTCTTACCCCAAGATTTACTGTTCTTAATATAGTTTCCAACAGGTGTGCAGCCAGGGCAGGAGGCTGGGGTCCAGCTGTCCCCAGACACGTGGACTCTCTCCAAGCCTCCGGCTGGAATCGCAGGGCGCAGGCTCACTGAGGGAGGACGGCCCCGCCCTGGGTCATGGCAGCTAGGGGACAAACGGAGGGGCAGCTTCTCGGTCCCAGAGCAAAGCTAAACCCAAGAGTGTGCAAGCTACCTCCTGACCCGGGAGGGCTGCTCTAGCTCCACAGGGATCGGGAGTCAGGTCCTGCTTTCCCATTCGTGGCGGAAACGGCCAGATGTGTACTCAATATCCACCCCTCCTTCTTTCTTACTAACACGACCTTCATTTGGTGGCTGTGGATGGGGAAGGGGGTGACAAAACAAAGGAGCCAAGCTAAAAACAAAACTGGAACCTTACAGTTCCCAGCCTAACTCTGGCCGACAAGACTTGCGTTAAAGGTTTTGAGGAAAGACTCGCTTCCCTCTCTGGCTGCCCATAGCCCAGGGGTGGCTGCGGGGCCAGCCCCAGACTGGGAGAAGCAGAGGCTGCAGACCCACACCTCGAACCACTAACACACCACTGCTCCCTCCTCCCTCCATCCCTCTCTCCCTCTCCCTCTCTCTCTGCATGGAGGAAAAGATATCGGTAAATCCTTACACGTTTAAGTTCCATCTCTGTCATTCTCCACTGAATTCAAGTCCCAACTGATAACCATCCTTCACCTGAGGCACGGGCGGGGCAGGGGCTGAGGACAGGCCTGGGCAGCCCTGGGGAGAGCGCCACCGCGCTCAGGGCCCGTCCCCAGGTGCGCTTTGGCCTGCTGGGTGAGCTAAGCTGGGACCGCAGGGCCCCGCTCTGCACACGGCCTGTCCCTTCTCAGAGCGGCAGGGCAGGCGGGACGCCGCAATGCCCAGCCGCCCCGTTGGATTGCCGGCTCTGCCCTGTGCGGGCGAGGCGCGGCCGCTGAGCCGACGCGGAGGAGGATTAAATGACACAGCCACAGTTCGTCCTTAGCGGCTGAGCCAGGCGACTTTCAGACATCGTTTCTAATCTTCAGAGCCAGTGGTTTCTGAACTTGAGTGTGCAAAGAACACCAGAGGATCTTGTGAAAATGCAGCTTTGATTCAGGAGGCGCGGGGTGAGGCCTAGGATTCTGCCCTCCTAATTGGCTCCCAGGACGGCTGCAGGCGACAGGCCGAGTACCAAGGCTCGCCACCAACGTGAGAACCCATGAGGCAAGTCAGAGTCACAAACTCGAACATCACCAGAGGGCCGCAGCGAAAGTAACTGAGCAAGAGGTGCTGGTGGGACCACAGGGACCGAAGCAGAAACCCCATCTGGAGGAATGTGGGTTGGGCACTGCCAGTATTTCCTTTTTTTCTTCAGAGAAACAAGAAATCCAGAGTTTTAGGTGAGATCTTCTGATTGTAAACACTGTCAGCAAACTTGACTTTGGACAGTTTCTTTGAGGTATAACTGACATGCAATAAACTCTGAAGTGTACAGTATTTGAAGTGTACAGTTTGGTAAGTGTGGACATTTGTATACACCCAGGAACAAACTCAATATTTAAAGAAAGCAAAACACTCTGTCAGCTGACCATAGTTGCAGATCAGATACAGGCTACAAACCTCCAGTTGCATCCTCTGAAGTAGAACCAGTACTCCCACTTCAAGGTGTGGTAACTGAGGACAACCAGAGAGGTGAAGCAACTGGTCTAAGGCCACACAGCTAACAAGGAAAGTGTCAGGGTCTGCTCTCTGGTTTTCTGAGAGTCGCCCTACTCCACGTGTTGGCCGGAAGGAAAATGGCCACAGAAGTTCTCAGGCATCACAGCTGGACAGAAGAGAGACCATCTCTTCCTCGAGCTATCAGAAGTGAGGAGACCTTCCTCTGAAGTCCCCCTGAAGACTTCCCCCAGTGCCTCCTGTGTCTCGTGTGGCCTGTCCATGTGGCCTGGGCTTTCTCACACCATGGAGGCTGAGTTCCAAGGGAAAGTGAGAGAGAGAGAGCGAGAGAGAGAGAAGCAGTCACAAAGGACCACCCTGCTTCAAGGAGAGGAGACACAGGATCACCTCTTGATGGGACAGTGGCGAGTTCTGGCAAAGCACACAGGAGATAGACTTTGGCCACTTCTGGAAAATATCTGCCACATCAGGAGATCTGGGCGCTGTCTGCAAGGCCACCGTGAGCACTGCTCACTTCCATATCCAGCTGTACTGGCAGATCGAGAACTCTCCTGAAAGGGAGCCCAGGAATTGCTGCCCCCTGGTCCACACCCACCTTTCCCTGAAACGAATGGCAGGTGTCTCTTGGGACCTAAGTGCTAACCATGGCTGATGTGGAGGAATCTTTCGTTTACATCTCCTGGAACAAGTGACTAATGTTGGCCATGGCCCTGGAATTTGCTACTTCTGCCCTGAGCCAGACTCCATTGTCTACTCTTGTCAGTATCTGGGAATAAACTTTTCCACTCTCTGAGGCCAGAGTTTCCACTGGCTTTGGTTAGTGCCGAGTCTGTCCACATACTGCTGATACTAGCCTGTTCCAGAATTTTACACTTATTTAAACATTTACTTACCTTTATTAATCTCTACTGCTAAACTCTCAGCAGTTAATACTCTAGGTAATATCTGCATGCTGACATGAGCTTTGTCCTGTAATGACTACAGAGGGTTAATGAAGGAAGGCTCAAACCAGTCTCTAATGCCTGAAGTTTCCTACCTAGCAGGCTAACAAGATATATGTGTGGGAAGATGCCATTTCTTTTTTTAAAGCCCTTATCACGGTTGTAAATAAATAATTGTTTGTTTAAGACTGTTATCTATAGGTTCTGAAATCCCTAGCTGTCTTGTTCGAAGTCTAGCTTGCCTGGAATGTGGGAAATACTCAATAGATATTTCCTGAATACAACAGGGGAGAGTGAAGTAGCAGCAACTAGTAAAGTGAAGGGTCTGGGCCAGGCGCGGTGGCTCACGCCTGTAATCCTAGCACTCTGGGAGGCCGAGGCGGGCAGGTTGCTCAAGGTCAGGAGTTCAAAACCAGCCTGGAGCAAGAGCAAGACCCCGTCTCTACTATAAGTAGAAAGAAATTAATTGGCCAACTAATATATATATATATAATTATCTGGGCAAATTAGCCAGACATGGGGCGCTGCCTTGAGTCCCAGCTACTCGGAGGCTGGGAGCAGAAGATCGCTTGAGCCCAGGAGTTTGAGGTTGCTGTGAGCTAGGCTGACGCCACGGCACTCACTCTAGCCTGGGCAACAAAGCGAGACTCTGTCTCAAAAAAAAAAAAAAAAAAAAAAGTGAAGGGTCTGTAGCAGACCCTGTTAGCCACTTTGCAACCAGCTATTCCTTCTTTCTTTTGTCTGTGCTGTGGCAGACACTGCAAGCCTGTTTAGGGCTAACTACATAGGGCTCCTTTAGTAGCTAAAGCAAGTGCTGTGTTGATAACATTGTAATATACATTAAATCATGTTATTTCATCAATTAACAGAATGAAGGTAGGAGAATAAATAGCACAGCCTCACACCCATTCTTTTCCTCTCTGATGTTTCCTTCTTAAGAAACAAACACATGGCTTCATTACCAACAAGCTCAGCATAAATTAATAGGAGCTGAAATCCGTGAAATTAGATTCACTTTTCTAATTAGCTGGAGAGTTCACAGATACCAGAGCACTCTTTATCACGGGCCCCCTTCTTCTCAGGAAGGGGACAGCCACTTGTGATCTCAGAAAATTAAACCCTCCCCTGCTTACCATCTACAAAGCAATTTCTGATTGAAGTGTAAATGTGAATTTCATTTGGCCACCTGGAAGACCATTTTGAAGTTGTGAATCTTGAGCAAATTCCTCATTAATTCCACCCGTGGTTGGGAGATTGTGTGATACAGCAATTTTCATTTTCAAAGGAATTATCTTTTTACTAATAATATTCTCAGATTAGTTGGCACCCTCCTTCATGGAGTTCAAAGTGATTTTGAGACTTCTTGTCTCTAATTCGCACATGCCAGAGAGAGGGCACAGGGGCCAGCTGTTCCTAGACAGCCTGTGGAAGGAGACTGAGGTCGGGGAGCCAGGGCCAGGGGAGACAGGACAGAGTTGTCAAGATGACCCAGCAGGGCAGTGACAGCCCCGAGCATTTCAACTTTTATTTTATTCCCTACCTCCAGCCAACCAACCACCCCAATTATTTTCCAAGAGTCTGAAACTGTCAAACAGTCCCCTGGGGTGCAAAGCAAGGGCAGAGGAGTCCTGACCCCACCTCTTCTAATGGTTCAGTGAATGACTTAAAAGGGCAAAATTTGCCCAGTGAAAGGATGGGCTCCCTGTCTGTAGAAGCTAGATGTCCACTTTCCAGGAATCCCTTTACTCATGCATGCATTCTGTTATGTAACAAAGTTTTACTGAGCACCTACTATGTGCCAGACACTGTTTTGGGTGTTGGAAATGTAGAAGTGAATAAAATGAACAAAAATCCTTGGCTTCATAGAGGTTATTCTTGTGGGGAAGACAAATAATAAACAAGAGAAAAAAATAAGCAAAAGCACTACCGGGATTTTGTTAAACAGTGATAAATGCTAGGGAGAAAATAAAGCAAGGACACGGATTTAAAATGTCAGGGTACATGAGGGATTGGATTTTTAGTTGTGGTGTCCAGGGAACACTGTACTGAAAGAGCCCAGGAAGAGAAGGAAGGTGACAATGACTGCTGTGGAGGGTTACACAGCCTTGGGCAGAACGTGGGACTAGATGCTTTCTACAGTCTCTTTTGAAGTAAATTCATTCCTCTCCACCTCTGCTTATGCATGTATGTAAGTAAGCAACCCCCTTCAAGGGGTTGTAGGAGTTAAGAAACGAATATCTGTACTGGATTGAATAGTGTCCCCCAACATTCACGTCAACCCTGGAATCTCCAAATGTGACCTTATTTGGAAAGAGGGTCTTTGCAAATGTAATTAGCTAAGATGAGGCCATACTGGAGTAGGGTAGCCCCTACATCCAATGAATGGTGTCCTAGGAAGGCCATACAGAGACGCAAACATCATACATGGGACAACAGCCACGTGAAGACAGAGGCAGAAATTAGAAAGCTGCAGCTATGAGCCAAGCCATGCCAACAACTGCCAGCAACCACCAGAGGCTAAGAGACAGGCATGGAACAGGTTCTCTGCCACAACCTCCAGAAGAATCCAATCCTATTAACACCTTGATTTTGGACTTCTGACCTACCAAACCATGAGAGAACAAATTCCTGTTGTCCTAAGCCACCCAGTTTGTGGCAATTTGTTATGACAACCCTAGGAAATTGATACAGATTTTGGTACAAAGAAGTTGTGCTGCCTAAAATGTGGAAGGGCTTTGGAATTGGGTAATAAGTAGAGGCTGGGAGGATTTTTATATCAATGATAGAAAAATCCTAGATCATCTTAAAGAGATTGTTGGTAGAAATATGGGCATTCAGGTGAGGGCTCAGGAGGAAGTAAAGAGGACAGTAGAGAAAGCTTCTATTACCTTAGAGAAAACATATCATTATGGACAGAATATTGGTAGAAATATGAACATTATGGATGTCTCTGATAATGTCTGAGATAAAAATGAAGAGCATGTTTTTGAAAACTGGAGGAAAGGTTCCTTGTTATAAAGTGGCAAAGAATTTAGCTGAATTGTTTTCTCCTCTTGATTGGAAAGTAGAACTTGTAGGTGATAAACTTGGATATTTAGCTGAGGAGATTTCTATACAAAATATGGAAGGTGCAACCTAGTTTCTCCTTGCTGCTTATAATAAAATCCAAGAGGAAAGATATAAATTGAGAAGGAACTACTAAGCTAAAAGGAACCAGAACTTGATGATTCAGAATGTTCTCAGTCTGTCCACATTATTAAAGATGTTAAGGCATGCTCTAGAGAGACCACCAAAGGTATGGCTAGACACCTGTGCTAGAGCAATTAGGTGTGTGAATCATGGATCCAACTAACCATCTCAGCAGCAGCCAGGAGTGGAGATGGGGCCACCCAGGAATGATCTATAGAGAACTCTTGTGTCTAATGACAGGGATCCTCTTGATATACACAGAAGACCCACAGGGATTTTGAGAATGTTATGCCCCCAAAAACACAACCAGCTTGGACTGTAGGGAACAGAGACAGGATAAAATGAAGGAAGGCTGCCAAAATTCTGGGCTTCTATCATCAGGAAACCAGCCTACAGAGTTACTCATCTGTGAACATGTATTATCCTTCAAGAAAAGAGGGGAATGACTGAGGTGGCTCAGAAGCCAGCGGGGCTGCCTGTGCTTCCCCTAAATTAAGTGTCACCCAAGATATCGGGGCCCCAAGAGCAGCAATTCTTATTCCCCATGCATAGCACAGAAGCAAAGAAACATCAGGGAAAACAGAAGCAGAGACTGATGGGGCTCCTTGCGTGCAGTTCCTTGGATAGAGCTCATGTTGATCCAGAGACTTATGAATTAAAAAGATATGCCTTTGACACAATTACCATACAATGGTGAGACAGGGATAGTATATCTCCCAAGAGACACCCCCATTTTAAAAGAGGAGTACGTGGGAGGAATATGTAGTCACTATTTCACAGCCATTTTTGGTTTTTTTCAATCCACCCATCTGCACACTGATCCATAACAATTTTGAAATCTAGCTGGGCAGATGTCATCGGTTCCCTCAATAGTAGGAGCAAAGAGTATTCCTTGATTAGGACCTATTTTCTGCTTCCTGGGAGTGGTTCCCTAATCTATTGTTCTCCTCGGTTCTTGCCTTCACACTCTGAACTCTGGGCTTCACCGTCTGAGACATCTTTCCTTTACAAAAAGTAATATTAATAGATCACATTTACAGCTGGGTAGCTCTCTCTCTCCGACTGTTTCCTGTTTGTGAAAAATGAGAAGCCCAGAGACCTCTGTTCATTTTGTCATATCTATTCCTTTTAATCCAAGCTAGTAGTGTTTTTCCCAAGAATAATTCTCTTTAAAATTGTGTGGGTTTCCATGAATCTGGTTGGGAGCCACTCCATGCTTTAAAAGCCATATTCATGATACTTTCCAAGCTATGCTTCTTCCTACTTTGGGTTGGTGATGGGGCTGTTTTAGAAACCCTTTTGACTAGCTGAGAGGATCTATTAGGAAACAACTTAAATCTTTCTAAAGTCTAAACCGAGTCTTATAGCCATGATATCGATTCATTCTTTGCCCTCAAACCATTTCTTGTTCTGAGAATCTTTTGCTGGAGAGACTGTCCTACACTCTGTATTGCCTCTAGATGCTGTTTTCAAGCTGAACAGTTTCCCCTTGAGCTCCTCTCTCTTATGATATCTTATCCTATGCTGCTAAAAGAAGCCAATGGACACTTTCAACGTTCTTCCTAGAAACCTCCTTAGCCAGATCCACAGGTTCATTAGCTACATTTTCTATCCTCAAAGTAACACTGACTGTCCCACACATGCAGGCTGCCTTTTCTCCAGCCTTCCATAACAGTCTCCTTGCTGCCTTTTCAGCATCCTTATCATCCTTCCAGCCTCCAGCTGCCACTCGGTCCCAAAGGTTATCCATACGTTTGAAATTTCTGTTACAGCAGCACCACTACTCCTATGTCCAAATTTCTATTTCAGTTAGCCTCTGCTACATAAAAAAAAAAACTACCCCAAAACTTAGTGACCTAAAATCAGCAGTCTGAGCTGTGTTCAGCTGGGCAAATTGTCTCTGCAACAGATGGTTTCAGCTGACTCACTTGTGCACTTGCAGCCAGCTGGTGCCTCAGCTGTGGGTGGAGGAACAAAGATGGCCTCACCCACATGCCTGTCCCTCAGCTGGGATGACTGGCGTGGCCGAGGGTGGGCTGGGCCTCACTCTCCCTCCACAGGGCTTCGAGGAAGCTGGTGTGGGCTTCTTTACAGGGAGACCAAAAGCAAAAGCTGCAAGGTCCTTTAAGGCTCAGACTCTGGACTTGCACAGTGTCCCTTTTGCTGCATTCTATTTGCCCAAGCAAGCCACAGAGCCAGCCCAGATTCACAGTGGGAGAGAACTCTAAAAGAGCAAAAATTCAGGACCTTTGTTTCTTCATGTTCCAGAAACCTAGAAGATTAGAAGTGGTCTGAGTTCCCCTAGGTCAAAGGAGAGGCTCTGGCTCAGAGTAAGGATAGGCCAACATTTGACAAACGAGCCAACAAACATTGCAATGTGCTCTCCTCACTGGCTGAAGGGTCACTGGGACCAGGAGGGAGAAATCACCCAGCCCTGCCTGCCCTTGCAGCATCTCCTCCCTCCCTGTGAGCCCTAGCCGTGGCTCCCTCCTCTACCCACGTACCCCGAGATGTAGAACCAAGCCCAGAAGGACCCTCTCAGTGGCCACAGGCTCCTGCCTACGCAATGCTGGGGTGTCACGCTGCCTGGTTACCCTATAGGAAGGGATGCCCCTGTAAAGCCCAGCAGCAAAGCAGCCTCACCTTTGGGGGCAGAGACAGGCTGCTGGGCAAAGAGCAGGAAGGGGCAGGGGACAAGAGTATGCTCAGGAGTGCCCCCACTCCCCTTGCTCCCAGGAAGGCCTTGCCAGCCCCAGGAGCGTAGACAGGCAGACCAGGAAGGGCCTCACCAACAGAACGGGTGGGAATGAGCCCGGGGAGGAGCCTCTGTCAGGGCTCAGTGGCACAGCCAGGCCTCAGGCACAGGGTCTAAGCTCCTGGAGTTCACCAGTTTTGTCAGGCAGCCACTCGGATGGGAAGACTTGCAAGGATTGCCCCAGGCACTCTGGGGAGAGGCTGCAGGGGAAACAGTGAAGAAATAGAGGAGACTGCCCTTTCCCCAGGGAAACCCCCAAACAGACCCTCCCCCAACAGGGCCTTCCCCAACCAGCCTTTTGCCCAGCTGCCAGTTGAGGCAGCCTCAGCACAACCTCTACCAGGCCCCGTTCCCTCTGGCCCCACCTTTCCTGGCCCTGTCACCTCTTGCAGGCTGCAGCCGCCCCCCAGGCTGCCCCTCTGTGTCAGCCCCCAGCCTGCCCGTCCCTGAGCTGGGCAGTCACTTTCCCTGCCCCTACTCTGTGCTGGGCTGGGGAGACAGTGACAACTCAGGCCCAGCACTGCCCCAGGGTCCTTCTTGACAGGGACAAATGGCCCTTTTGCCCTTGACAAGCAGATTGATGCTTTTCTCTCAGGAGAAGCTCTCAGAGCCTGGAAATGTTGTCCCCTCTGGCCCCGGAGCAGCTCTGAGGACAATGAGACCATATCTGAAGGTCTCCCTGCCCAGCTACCACCTCCTCCCTGGAATTTTCCATAAATCCATGGGTGACAGGGAGAAAATGACTAAGAAGAGAGGGAGGACTGGGGACAGGTGCACACTCACAAGCATCCTCATGCACACACAGGTCGGCTGCTATATGACGAACCCCATACACATTCCACTCAGACATGGGCACACATGCTTTGAGCATGTGCACACACAGAGATGCAAACAGCAGACAGACACAATCACAAATACAAACACATCAGCACATACACAGACATGCACACTTAGACACACGAATACCTATACAAGGCCACACTCACGAACACACACACAATAAACACGTAGAAGCCCGTGGGCACTCACAGCATCACACAGGATCATGTACAAACACAAAGATGACATGGAGGCACACACATGCTGCAGCCACAGCACACAGATACACACACAGGCACTCTCACCTGCGATCTCATGGTCACAGTGGGAGGCACATACATCGCCTTGGCTCAGCCCATTTTGCTCCACCCTGAGGCTGGGGCTGCCCCTCCCTACAGCCTGGGGTTTCGCTGCAGCCCCTGCAAGGACAGGACAACAGGACAAGGGTTAATAGAGATCTGGGGGTAGCTTTGAGCTCTGAGGGAGTCCTCAGCCCAGCTCAGGCACACTCAGTGGCCCTGGGACAGGGTAGGCTCCAAGAGGAGTGTCAGGTGGCATTGCAAGCAGGGGTGGGAGGAGAACAGTCAGCCCTCTGCCCAGGGCTAGGAAACTCCAACACAGCCCCTAGCTGGGAGGCTGCTCCCCAGGGAGCCCAGGAGGCTTCAGCCCTCCACCGCCTCTGCTGAGAGGGAGGGAACCAAAGCCACCCTGGCCCTTGCCCTCCCCCACCCCTCCCCACCTAGAATCCCAGACACAGACTTGCTGCTCCAGCAGATTTCCAGGGATGGGAGTAGCGGAATCGATGATGCTCAGAGCATTTTCAGCCAGTGGGAAAAGCCGCCCTGGGCCTCCCTGACACCAGAAATAAATGATTCCGAGAACAGAAAACCACTCAGACGCGGCGGGAATGACCGGCTGGAGAGCGCGTTCACCTTGAGGGATGGCAGGCACCGGCAGCGCTGGGCACCTGTGCAGCACGGGGTCAGATCACACGCAGCCCGCCCCAAGACCCGACGGCTCTGCCAGGCAGCCTTTCATCCCGGGGCACCTGTGCGGAGGAACCCAGAGGCGGGGCCTTTCCACGGGGCAGCTGCTTGGAGTTTTGTTTTCTTCAACAGAAAAGCTGCCTTCTTTTCCTTCTCGTGTCGCTCTAAGGCTGCTGACATGCCCTAGAAAGGAAGAAACGAGTGGACACGGGTTCCCCGGCTCATGCAGGGCCCCACAGCCTGCAATCCCCCCAGGTGTTTCTGGGAGTCCCAGGAGGGGTCCCGCATGTGCTCATGGATGCCACTGGTCAGCTGCTATATGACAGCTGCAGATTTATTGGAACTGGGGACTGTGTCCACCTGACACTGCCACTTCTGCTGAGTACCTCTTGGTCCACCCAGCATCACCATGGAGCCAGAAGCCCCACCCCCGGACACAGAGCCACCCCCATAACCGCGCAAAACAGAGCAAAACCTCCTCCTCTTGTGCCACACTCTCAGTGGCGTCTGGAGCAGGGCTGTGTGGGTCCCGCTGCCTCACAGAACTTTAGGAAGATGACTTACAATTCCCGCCAACCCAAGCACCTGCTGCCCATGCCTTAGCATCCAGATCCAGATATGAGTCCACGAGGGTCGGCAAGGGAGACAGAGGCAAGGCTGAACCCAGAACTTTCCTGCCTGCTAATTGGCCTGGCCACCTCTTCCCCTAGGTGAGGACTCTCCCCAAAGGACCATAATCCACACAAAAGAGGATGCTGTCCCGCCAGTTGCCAGAAACACCCAGCCACACCTGACTTTGGGAGATGGACACGGGTTTGGCTCAAGCGAGCACTGTCACACCCAAGCACGCATTCAGCCTGCAAAAGGAACAATGACATCTCAACACCGTCAGGCGCAAGGGCCTGGCCTGGCGCTCTCACCACCGACTCACCCATGCACACCGCACAGGAAGACACTTGCCCAGCGGCCTGGAGGAGGTTGGTGTGTGAAGAGGAAGGCTGGGGCTGGGAGCAGCGGCCAGCCGGGAGCTGTGCAGACCCGAAGGGGAGACATCTCTCATCGGAGGTGGAAGCACCAGGCGTTCTGGCCTCCTAAGTCTGTGCTTGGGCTCCACCTGCAGACACAGAGGTGGTGCTGGCCACATGTCCCCTCCTGGGACAGTGAGTCCTGGTAAATCGCCCCAGCAGGCTCAGGGTATGATTGCTTTCACCTGTAACACATCAGCCACAGGGAAGAGATGCCCTGATACCTCTCTGCCTCTCTCTCTCCCTCTCTCTCCACATAGATACGTGTGTGTGTGTGTGTGTGTGTTTTGTATGTGTCGTGTGTGTGTGTGTGTGTGTGTGTGAGTGTGTGTGTGATTATTTTTAAATCTAACTGCAGTTGGAGAAGGCTGTCCTAAGAGGACGGTAGAATTTCTCTGAGGGACAGAACTGCTCTTTTGTTTGGGAAAACACCTTAATGGATCTTTTAATTATGCAAAGAGAGGCCCCAGGGCTCCTCTGGAGGAGGTGGCTGAGACAAAGAGGAAGCTAAATTGCACTGCATAATAAACGTGCAGAAATTTTGGAACTGTTCCAGGAGGTAGGCTTAGGAAAGGGCCCCCAAGGAGAGGGAAAGTCAGAGACCTAAGGAAAAAGGTGGCCAGTGAGGAGCACAGGTTCCCCCCCACACACACACACCTCTCCCCAGGTGGATGGCACCACGGGGGCGTGGGGGCAGCACTGGTTTTCCCACAGCGCTGGGGCACCCCCTCAACCTGGGCGTTAGGGCACAGGGCAGCCTAGGAGGGTGGAACGCTGGGACATCTGGATTACAGCTGAAATAGCCCTTCAGACATTTCATTCTTAGATCTGGACATTTTTATGAAAAGCAGTAAATGCGTTCTGCAGTCCACCTCAACCTTCCTGGGAGGCAGCATCAAGAACGACGAGATAGAGATGAGCCAACCGGCCACCAAAGAGAGACCCGCGACCCAGCGGGCTTTCACTCTAGCGCTGTTTGGAGGTTTGCGAGCTCGCCTCCGCCCCACTGCTTCACCAGCCCATCAACAGAGTGCGCTCTCCTTGCGCAATCGGTGGAGTCCCACGCAGCGCTGGGGGATGTGCTCAAGTGCCAGCCCTGCCCCAGTGTGGACACGGGAAACAGTGGACTCAGGCACTTCTGGGCTCCACCTAAAACTAACCGTGTTCCGTTCAGAGGACTGCCCTTTATCGTAGATTACGCCCTTCCTCATTTTATGGAATGATACAATAATGCTTTTTTCATGTCTTCACTTGGCAAAATAAAAATTTTCAACCTAGTATCACCTCCCTTTTAAAGCCATATTTTTAAGGGCCAGGTGTCATGGCACACCTGTAGGCCCGGCTACTTGGGCAGCTGAGGCAGGAGGGTCACCTAAGCCCAGGAGTTGGAGGTTGCTGTGAGCTATGATGACGCCACTGCGCTCTAGCCTGGGCAACGGAGCAAGACTCTGTCTCAAAAAAAGGAAAAGAAAAAAAAAGAAAACCCACAACATATTTTTACTAGTTTTTGAAGTCCCAAAGTCTAACGTGAAGCGCATTCCTGAAGGCCTCACCTCACATGAACCTTACCGAGGCCGGAAACGCAGAGACGCCTTCCAACAAGAGTGGCTCTCCCCTTCGTGAGGCTCTTCCCAGCTTCTGCGTCGGCACGTGTGGCTTTAGTGCTCACTGTCACATCAGGATGGCCAGCACAATCTTCCATGCAATGAAACCAGCCCTTACAAGCAACAGATGAGGTTCTGTGGACACTTCATGTCCTTGGGCACGCTTCCTGAGTTTTTCCTGAGTAAGTATCAGACTTCCAGGTGCATGCATTTTAGTTCGGTGCTCAGTTCACAATCTCGGAGTTTTTCATCTTCAGTCATGCTTACCCCGCGTTCAGTCTATTACACCTCATGGTGGGGAAACCCTTGTCATGGTTTCTTCATTCTTTCTTTATCTTAGTCATGAAGTGCAGTGGCCTCTTCTCACGCCTCACCCCATGTAATGTCTGTCTCTACCTCCCAGGCTGCGGAAGCTGCTCGCTCTCGGCCTCTCCTTCCTCTCTGGCCACACCACGATGAAGCTCTTCCTCCATGCTCTGCCCTTGGTCCCCCTCTCTCCCCACACCGGTGTCCTCAAACTATCTGGGTAGCCTGTTGAGCGTGGAGGCTGGCCCTAGAAGAAAGGATGGGTGGATGGACACCCATCTGGATAGAGTAGTGACACAGTATAAATTAAAACATTTAAAATCTTTTTTCCAGGACCAACCTAAAGCAGGACACACAGAACCTTCTCTGAGCCCATGGGACACTCCTGTATTCGTCATACCTAAAAAGAACAATAAGTGGCGTTTACTACAGGACCCAGCAGCTCTTAATGCTATCATAGCCCCGATGGGACCGCTACAACCCGGCCTTGCCCAGCCGTCATTACTTCCAAAACATTGGCCTTTGATTGTAATTGATTTAAAAGATTGTTTTTTCATAATTCCTCTACCTGGGATGGCCCTTTTGGTGCGTTAACATGGGGAAGAGAATGTGTTTGTGTTCAAACTTCTACAGGTCTCGAGTGGTTCCCCTCCAGACGAGTTTGCTTACATCATGAGCTGGAAGAATCAGCCCAGCAACCCAATTCCACAGATGAAAGGTCTCTCCCTCGGGCCGCCACTGACCGGGTCCCAAGGCGACAGACTCGTAACACCAAGACGGCGCCCGGGATCACGTGGGGTCCATTGAAACAACTAGAGACACAGGCCTCAGCTGTGGTGACACAACTGGGGGCTCCTCCTACCTGGAGGAACACGTTTCTGGCGTGTTTGGCTATTGATGCCTGTAATAGCAGTGTGTGTTACCAACTTACATAATACAACCTGGCGCATTCCCATGACTGCCCAAAACTACGTTCACCGGTCATGCTTGCTCTTGTCACTTTCTGTCTCTCTTACTTTCTATGACGGATCTGCCAGTTGATGACCTCCCAACGCCATTATGAAAAGACGCTGCTGAAGCTGACATGTCTTTCTCCTACTCACACTCTGTCTCTAATTTTAAAAAAGGGGGACCTGTGGGGGCTGGGCCTAGAAGAAAGGATGGGTGGATGGACAGAACATGAGCAGGTGAATGAAGGGTCAGGTAAAAACACCTGCCCGAAGCTGTTGTTTGCTAAGTGCAAAGGTCCGCTGAAAACAGCTGACCTGTATGGAAGTTGTTAAAGAAATGAGCAAACGGCCCTGACCCTTTGCACGTGTCCTTGGAAATAAATATGGGGAGGAAGTTAGCTGAGGAGGGCATTCTCTTCTTCAGACTTTGGTCTCTTCTCTTCTGTCGATACACCATGTTCCTTCCTTCGCTACCGAGCTCCGGAGTGAAAAGCAACCGCCACGGTTGAGCACATGGCTGCTTCCTGCAGGGCTCAGGAGGCTGAGAACCTGTCAGAGGTGGAGCCAGAGGGGACCTAAATTAAAGAGATCCACCTGGTCAGATGGCGCTTCAATGGGCAGCCACTTGGGGTAGGGGTCCTGGTGGTTCCCATCACGTCTCTTGGAAAGTCCCCTCCCAGCCAAGATGTCCTTGCCTTCTCATTCCTCCACAATCAGCGAGAGAGAGCCTCTGTGCAGTGTTGTCCTGGATCTTTGAAGCTCTTAGGTACAGGGCGGGTCCCCAGCTGGCCTTGGATTGACCCAGCTCTCCCCCCTTTCCCACTTACAGTTCTTCAGACTGACTGCACAGTGTGCCGGGACTGCAACATCCTGAGATAGAGAGGAACAGCCTAGGCTGTTGCTGTCCCTCCAAGAACAGATGTCCTACAATGCTTTAGCCCAGCAATTCATGTGATCCTGGGATATAAAACCCAGGGCAAGCTGCTTTTGGGGGTCCCTCAGCTTCAGTGCAAGTGGGGCACATACAGACAAGACTTCTTCCAACTTTGCAGCTTTCCTGAACCTTGGCGGACTGGCTCTGCATGAAGCTAGGCTTCCGTTGTCATTTGTTGGCTATCTGTCATAACCATGCTTCATGGAACTTGCTGTGTGGGTGTGTTCCATGTCACTAGACTTGTGCAAGGGATAGAAATTGGCACAGCCCAAGGTCCTCCCCTGGCATTGACACTGGTGCACAGTAATTCCGCCTTGCCTTAGCTGTTTAAGCCATGTGGCCCAAGGTCAGCAGGCAGCTTCTCAGCTGCTTGACTCTGTCGAGGGGCTCTTGGGAGGGACAGAATCAAAGACTAGTCCTGCCCAGAGTCACCCTCCAC